GACATTTTCTCTGGTGATTGATGACCATCACGCAGGTGAGGAAGGAAATCTGCCTCAGGTAAGCTTCTCCCCTCAAAAGTTTGTCTTGGTGATATTAATGACTATGTATACAATTTTATATCTTGAAGCTCTCAATTTGTTAAAAATAATAGTAAAAAAACACAGGGGTAGATAGCTGTATAGTTATCCGTGACTCACTCATTTAGGTAGTAATGAAAGAGAGAGAGAGAGAGAGACAGAGACAGAGAGAGAGAGTTTAATATCCATGAATTTTAATCCATTTGCTTAGATTATCCTAAAAAAAAAATAAGGCGAGGAGGTTATATTCACAGTAATTACAAAATCAAACCAAAAGTGTAATAAGCTCCTGGGTGGATGCATGATACAAACAGTACCTCGCCTTTCTGAGATCTTTATATATAAACCTGGAATAAATACGTTGGGTCATATAATGTGATTCGTATATAACTAATGATCACTGCGTCTCATTGTCAATAAAAACATACAATAAACGTGATGTGAAAATCTCAAATCTGTCTTGCATTATTTTTGTCTACAACTGTATATTAATTATCGTACTATTAGCCTCTGAACTATATACAGAACTTAATACTTAGTTAAGACAAAGGAAAAATATATCGTAAAATATCGTAATATAATATGTGTGTGTCGAGACTGACCCCAGATAAGTATAATTTTGTGTGTGATCATCGTCATCGTTCAAGAAAAGTGAAAACTTTAATGATAAAGCTGACTCGATATCCTTGACAGCGACCTTTGTTATCTTAAGCTGGCTCATGTTTGTCTGGATCAGGTTAGGTTAGGTTAGGTTAGGTTAGTACTGATACCTTACATCTATTGTTTTTTTATCAAGACAGTTCGACGTACACTTGAATTCCTCATAAAAAGTATAAATTATGTTGACATTATCGTTAATTAATCCTAAAACACTTACTGTACCATCAAGGTCACAGTTACCAGTTCACATCAGTTTCATTTTTGTCACTGAGATTCCATTAAATATCTTTCTCATTATTGATTTGCTTTTGTATATAAGTATACTCAAATAACTTATATCTCTAACTTCTGAATATATATATAACGTTATTTATATTATAGAACAGGAATTGTATGTCTGTAGATTGAGTAATACGTTCACCAAGATAACACAGGGACCAGAAGGTGTCTTTTCATATGTCGTAGGTACAGGTAAGTGGACATTAGGGAAGGTGGTATGTGTTATGGATGACTCTATTTATAACCGGTTTGTTATAAATATTAATCTACGTTATGATGAACATTTTTAGTACCTGTTCAATAGATGAGTCGATAACGAGCATAGACTGTTTGTTATTGTTACGAGGTGTAATTGTTCTAACGAGATATAACAAAAGAAATAAAGGAATCCATGAATAACATATTAGGAATTGACACTGTGGATCCTCCTCCTCCCCACCCACTACCCCCCCGCAACTCAATATTTACATAACGATCGTCCAGCGTGGTGTATTTTTTCTGTTTCCACGATTAAACCCCAATGACTCGTTGCACCACACACTACCGCTCTGCTGCCTTATGAAACCCTAGCGTGTATCGTTAAGGGTTCATGTCCGAAACTGAGTGTGTGTGTGTGTGTGTAAAGGGCTGGTGTACAGTTTTGGCCGATGAATATTGAAACATGGCGCATTATACTGAAAGTGAAACAGTGACTAAATGAGAAGCAGAGTTTTATGACTTTGGGAATATCTGGTTAATAGACTGAGATTATGATAGATGAAGGAATAATTAATACCATTATAAAAAAAATATATCATGAAAAGTAAAGGAAAAGATCGTAGGGCGTTGATCACTGCCAACGCTGGAGTAATTTACGCGATAGGCCTAAACGTATCCGTCACCAACGAGTTACTGAGTACAAGATAATGAATAAGACATATGATGTGAGAGTAGTGTTGAGTACATAGAGTATGTGTACTGTTAGAGTACTGAACATTCTGTACCTGTTGTATTGTTTCATAATTAATGGTAGGATATAATTATTCGTCTGTACTGTACCTGTATCTTAACCTGTACTATCATTTTATTTCAATATAATAAACCCTTTGTATCTTTGCCTCTCTATTCACCTCTAGTAATTCAGGAATATAATTTACCTGCAGTGATATTAATGAATTAATCAAATGCTATATCACAACCTGTACCTGTATCTCCACCATTGTATATAATTAATTAATACAGCGAAACCAAAATTAGATATATATAGCTTGTCCCTGTACCATCGTTCCAATCTTTATAGTCACCTGTATTGAGATAAGTTGTGTATCAGCCATCGTTAAGGAGTTATATAAAACTACTTAACATCCTAACTGCCTGGTATAATTAGGCCCGACTATCTCGCATCATCAAAGAACCTCATTAAAATACTTGACCGGGGTCGACATACTGCTGTGGCTGTTAAGACTTGTGGTGGTGGTGGTGGTGTGTGAATGTGGTGGATGGGGGGGTGAAGGTGAGGGAGGGAGGGTGAAGAGGAGAAAGAGAGGTTGAGGAAGAGTGGGATAAAAGGAAGGAGGAAGGGAAAGAGAGTAGAAATCTAATTGAAGAGAGAGAGAGAGAGAGAGCCAACCAACCATTAAGTATTATCAAGCATCAACAACAGTATATGACCATTTACTTATGTTGGTTGTCTCTTCCTGCCTTAGCCAATCTCTTCCTCATTACACGAACAAAATTCAAAACAAAATGTCATAGATGAAAAATCCGAGTTGGTCAAACATTTAATGGAAAAAAAAAATTCCCAACTGAATGAAACTCCTCCAGACACACAACCCCACCCCTCCCCCCTCACCCCTTACCCTCCCCCTCCCCCTCACCCCTTCCCCTCCCCAGTGGACGACATCCCAAAGTCAGAGTAATTAAGTGAACAGCTCATCATTAATTCATTTTTTGTTAACCCTTTGAGGACGATGACTTAACCCTTTGAGGACGATGACTTAATCCTTTGAGGACGATGACTTAACCCTTTGATGACGATGGCTTAACCCTTTGATGACGATGGCTTAACCATTTGATGACGATGGCTTAACCATTTGATGACGATGACTTAACCCCTTGATAACGATGATTACTCCCCTAGAGGACGATGACTTAACCCTTTGAGGACGATGACTTAACCATTTGATGACGATATTTTAACCATTTGAGGACGATATCTTAACCATTTGAGGACGATGACTTAACCATTTGATGACGATGACTTAACCCTTTGAGGACGATGATTTAACCCCTTGATGACGATGATTTACCCTAGAGGACGATGACTAAACCCCATGAGGACGATGTCTTAACCTTTTGAGGACGATGACGTAACCATTTTAGGACGATGACCTAACCCTTTGAGAACAATGTCTTAACGCTTTGAGGACGATGACTTACCTCTTGATGACGATGACTTACCCCTAGAAGACGATGACTTACCTCTTGATGACGATGACTTAAGCCCTTGAGGACGATGTCTTAACCATTTGAGGACGATGACATAACACCTTGATGACGATGACTAATACCCCATGAGGACGCTGATTTAACCCTTTGAGGACGATATCTTAACCATTTGAGGACGATGACTTAACCATTTGAGGACAATGACTTAACCCTTTGATGACAATGACTTAACCCTTTGATGACGATGACTTACCCCTAGAGGACGATGACTTACCTCTTGATGACGATGACTAAACCCCTTGAGGACGATGTCTTAACCATTTGAGGACGATGACTTAACCATTTGAGGACGATGACTTAACCATTTGAGGACGATGATTTAACCCTTTGAGGACGCTGATTTAACCCTTTGAGGACGATATCTTAACCATTTGAGGACAATGACTTAACCCTTTGATGACAATGACCTAACCCTTTGATGACGATGACTTACCCCTAGAGGACTATGACTTACCTCTTGATGACGATGACTAAACCCCTTGAGGACGATGAATTAATCCCTTGAAAATGATGACATTAACTTTTTAAAATACTATAATTTCCTTGAAGACGATGAGTAACTATCCTATTTGATTAAGTTAGTTTTCGTCACGTTCTATTAGGTTTCAGTTACCTTACTTTTGGTTTACTTTAAGTTAAGTCAGGTTTAAACTAAGTAGAGTAAGTTTGATTTAGTTTAAGTTTGGGTAAGCAAGTTTAAATTGGTTTATTGAAATAAGTTAAGTGTTGCTAAAGTATAGGTTCAGGTTAGGTTAGGTTAGGTTAGATAGAGATTAAATCAAGTTTAATAAGGATAAGTTTAGGTTAGGTTATTTTGCGTACTTCGGGTTAGCACTGGTTTTATGGGACTTAATCCTACAAGCGTCGTACACAGACACAATCCCTTGTGGCCTCATCAACAAGGGGCTTGTGTGAGAGACTCTGGTGGTCAGGAGGGCTGGCTTGTTGCCTCCTCACCGGGTTCAGCAGCTGCCCGGCCCTCAATAGAGACCTCCACACAAAATCAACAATATTGTGTCTGTAGCTAAGTAGTGGGAGGGGGTTTTCTTCGCCTCTTCCCTCCATCCCTGCTGCCTTCCCTCCCTCCCTGCCCGAGGGTCTTGAGCACTGTCAGCGTCACATCTGGTGGTGGTGCGCTAAGGCCGTCACTCGCCCTTGTTAGCGGCGACACTCTCGATTTATGAGCATAGCGGTGAAAATAGAGACCAATTATGGCCATTATGAAGCTGACAGTGCTGTGTGCGTAGCTTACCCGCCATCATCTGGTCCACTGTAATCTCGCTGTCGGCCAGAGGGAAACACTATCTGGCGAGGGGCGGAGCTAATCAGCCCCACACGCCGGATTGGTCATGCCCACATCTCAACTCCGCCCACTATCAGAGGACGATTAACGATTGGTAGGCGTCACGTGGTGGTTGCCTGGGGCGGGCCGGGCTGCGCAGTGACGTCATCAGTGATTGGTGGGTGGGCCCGGTAATTTGTAGTGTGATCGCGGGCGTTGAGGATGTGTTAGTGGCGATGATAACAACTCCCCCGGGACGATGGCACGGCGTGGTTAGCTCCGCTAGTGACACTAACCCCGGCACCTGGCACACACTCTTCCTCGCCTCCACCACCCACCTCAATCATGTATTCCACCCGCAAGTGTTGCTAATTGCAAGGTGCGACCCGACCCCGATATAAATCGGAAGTGTGCGTTCCGACGGACGATCGGCATTTTATACGAGGTGTAGTGTGGTGTGGACGACGGTGGACGCGGCCTCATGGCTCCAGCACGCGGCCACTTGTAAACATACACTCCTGGTTTAACCTGGAGTTGTTGTAACGAGACGGTCATTACCGCCAGAGTGTAATTAGCGGGTTTGTTACCTGAGTGAGTGCGGTCACGACGCCGACATGTGCGACACCTCCGAAACGATGGACACGCGGTCGGAGCCGTCGCAAGGGACCGACGGGGAAGGTGAGGACGACATCTCGGTAGGCAGCCACTCGCCCCTCCCGCCGCCCCGCGACGACACCGACGATGACTCCATGATCGACGTAGACGACAGCGCCAACGACGACCCCCGCGGCGATAAGGTGGCGGCGAGCCCCAAGGTGGAGCCCCCAGACCCGGCCATGAGCCCTGGCCCGCCCCGCACGCCCCCTGTGGCCCACCAAGCCAACAACGCCGCCCTCCACCGTTCCCTCAAGTTCTCTATCGACAATATCCTCAAGCCGGACTTCGGTCGCCGGCTGGGGGAGACCCTAGAGACGAGTGACCAGCCCGTTGACCTCTCTAGGGTCACCAACCGCGACCCCAAGAAGGCGGGGGGCTTTCGGGACCCCGCCAGGAGCCCGGGGGACGTGGGGCAGGCGCCGAACAGTCTCCTACTGAAGGACAGGGAAGGGTCAGGAGGCACCCTCTGGCCGGCTTGGGTCTACTGCACGCGATACTCCGACAGACCTTCTGCAGGTATGTACTGAAGCTCTGTACTGATGCACATAAGTTAGTAATGGCACCTAACGATTTAAGTGATGGGTCGTATCCTGTGGCATCCTTTTATACTGATGTGTGGCACTGGCGGCTCGTGACGCATGCAGAGGTGCGGAACTGTAATGACGTGTGGATATATATGGCATTCTATAATGACGTGGGTATAAGTGGTACTCTGTAGTGATGTGGATATGTTTGACATTTTGTAGTGACGTAGGTATATATGGCATTCTGTAATGACGTGTGGGTATAAGTGGTACTCTGTAGTGATGTGTGGATATGTTTGACATTTTGTAGTGACGTGTGGGTATATATGGCATTCTGTAATGACGTGTGGGTATAAGTGGTACTCTGTAGTGACGTGTGGATATGTTTGACATTTTGTAGTGACGTGTGGATATACGGTACTCTGTAGTGACGTGTGGATATAAGTGGTATTCTGTAGTGACATGTGGATATATATGGTATTCTGTAGTGATGTGTGGAGATATGCGATACTCTGTAATGATGTGTTGATGGGTAGAGATGTGTGGTACCCTGTAGCGACACGTGGTTATATGTGTGTGGTACCCTGTAGTGACACGTGGTTATGTGTGTGTGGTACCCGTGACACGTGGTTATATGTGTGTGGTACCCTGCAGCGACACGTGGTTATATGTGTGTGGTACCCTGCAGCGACACGTGGTTATATGTGTGTGGTACCCTGCAGCGACACGTGGTTAGTGTGTGGTACCCTGCAGCGACACGTGGTTATATGTGTGTGGTACCCTGCAGCGACACGTGGTTATATGTGTGTGGTACCCTGCAGCGACACGTGGTTATATGTGTGTGGTACCCTGTAGTGACACGTGGTTATGTGTGTGTGGTACCCTGTAGTGACACGTGGTTATATGTGTGTGGTACCCTGCAGCGACACGTGGTTATATGTGTGTGGTACCCTGTAGTGACACGTGGTTATGTGGTACCCTGTAGTGACACGTGGTTATATGTGTGTGGTACCCTGTAGCGACACGTGGTTATATGTGTGTGGCCTGTAGTGACACGTGGTTATATGTGTGTGGTACCCTGCAGCGACACGTGGTTATATGTGTGTGGTACCCTGTAGCGACACGTGGTTATGTGTGTGGTACCCTGTAGTGACACGTGGTTATATGTGTGTGGTACCCTGTAGTGACACGTGGTTATATGTGTGTGGTACCCTGTAGTGACACGTGGTTATATGTGTGTGGTACCCTGTAGTGACACGTGGTTATATGTGTGTGGTACCCTGTAGTGACACGTGGTTATATGTGTGTGGTACCCTGTAGTGACACGTGGTTATATGTGTGTGGTACCCTGTAGTGACACGTGGTTATATGTGTGTGGTACCCTGTAGTGACACGTGGTTATATGTGTATGGTACCCTGTAGCGTTGTGACACTTTAATAGTTTATAGTGACATTCTCGGGAGACGTGTGTGGAGGAGTGGCGCTCTTAAGTGTGGCACTGTCTTGTGACGTGTGACACTCTATTAACATGTGACACTCTTTAGTAACGTGTGACACTCTCTAACGTGTGACACTCTATTAACATGTGACACTCTTTAGTAACGTGTGACACTCTCTATTAACATATGATACTCTCTAGTAACGTGTGACACTCTTTATTAACATATGACACTCTCTAGTAACATGTGACACTCTCTAGTAACGTGTGACACTCTTTATTAACATGTGACACTCTTTAGTAACGTGACACTCTCTATTAACATATGATACTCTCTAGTAACGTGTGACACTTTCTAGTAACGTGTGACACTCCCTAATAACGTGTGACACTCTTTAATAACGCGTAACACTCTTTAGCATTGTGTGACACACTTTAGTAACATGTGGCACTCTCTAGTAACGTGTGACACACTCTAGCAACGTGTGACACACTGTAGTAACGTGTGACACTCTCTAGCAACGTGTGACACACTCTAGTAACTTGTGGCACTTTCTAGTAACGTGTGACACTTTATAGTAGCGTGTGACACACTGTGGTAACGTGACACTCCTTAGTAACGCGTGACACTCTCTAGTAATGCGTGACACTCTTAGTAATACGTGACACTGTTTAGTAACGTGTGACACTCTCTAGTAACGCGTGACATTCTCTAGTAACGTGTGACACTCTCTAGTAACGCGTGACACTCTCTAGTAACGTGTGACACTTTTGTAACTTATGGAAATTTTGGTAACGTATACTAATCCAGACGTGTGTTATTCCATTGATATGTTACACTTTTTGGTGACGTGTGATACTCGTTAGTGACCAATGACGAGGGATGTGCGGCACCCTCTAACAAGGCACTATACTCTTCTGTGACGCATGGCGCTATTTAAAGACGTGTAATGTTTCCTAGTGACGTTTGCTGCTATTTAGTGAGGTGCGGTCTTGTGACGTGTAGCATTCTTTAGTGACGTGTTAAACTTCTCAGTGACATGCACCGCCGTCACACGTGGCACTGTCTCCTGACGTGTGGCATCCTGTGCTAGAGACCCGTGACAGTTATACTGACGTGCAGAGATTAATGACACTGCTACGCTGGTGCCGCCTGGCCCTGTTTTAAGTGTAGTTGACACAGTTTTAAGCGTAGTGTGACCAAGTGTCTTATGTCCTCGTTTAATGTCGCAAGGAACAGTTTTAGGTGTCATATGGATCTGTAAGTGTCATATGAATCTGTAAGTGTCATATGGATCTGTAAGTGTCATATGAATCTGTAAGTGTCATATGGATCTGTAAGTGTCGTTTATCTCGTTTTTAAATGTTGCATGACACTGTTCTTAGTGCACTAAGTATTGTATCACTGTTTTAAGGATAATGTTTCATTGTTTTATGTGTAGCGTTTTCCTGAAGTATATATATATATATATATATATATATATATATATATATATATATATATATATATATATATATATATATATATATATATATATATATATATAGTACCTATAATGCATTATTTACTCATATACAGTACTGTATAACGTGTTAATCACACATAATATCTTGAAATAACTTCATATATAAGGACGGTAATTTTTTATCGTCATATTTCGCAGTTCATTAATGAATAATAATAATAATAATAATGATAATAATAATAATAATAATAATAATAATAATAATAATAATAATAATAATAATAATAATAATAATAATAATAATAATAATAATAACAATAATAATAATAATAATAATAATAGACAAAAATACTATTAATTTTTATCTTATTATTAATAATAGTATTATTATTTAAATGCACGTCAACTATATAATAATAATAATAATAATAATAATAATAATTTTAACGAGTACAAAAACAAAATAATACATCACAATAACAATAACAACAAAAACAACAGCAACAACAATAACAACAACAACAACAACAACTAAATAACAATCACAACAAAGCCATTCCTCGTGAACCAAAACAATATAACTAATTATAAAAACATAATAAAATACTACCCAAAAACACTAAATAAAATAAAAACAATTAAAAACATCACCTCGAAATAACAAACATTATCAAGCCAAACAAAATATAACACACAAGCAAAATCCAAAATAAAACTTACTGATGATAAAAAAAAAACACGTTATTAATAAAAAAACATTACATATTTCGTATCTAGAAAAAACACCTTCACAATGTCATGGTCACAAATTCAGAAGAAAATATCCTTAGAAATATTCTTCCTTCCTGTGAGAGCCAGATTATGACAAGCGTTCAGGTGTGTGTGTGTGTGTGTGTGTGTGTGTGTGTGTGTGTGTGTGTGTGTGTGTGTGTGTGTGTGTGTGTGTGTCATTAGTGTGAAGGTAAATAAGTCTTGATGTGATATATATACTGTCCAGTAGGTGTCAATATTGGTATGATTTAATTGAAACTGGTTTTTATGATGTGGTCAAACGTAAACTGTGGCAAGTTTCTTCACGTTGCATAATAATGTTAGTGGATGTGTCATACTTATTACGTGGTTGTGTAATATTGGGGAAATATTTTCATGGTGTTAATGTTAGTGAAAATAGTATTGATATTTATGTAGGAAGATGAAGAAATATGGGAATAATGTTGTAGTGGTAATATTAATAACAACAACAACAATAGTAATATAGAGATTATAGTCTCATTTCACCTAATAATAAAAATACCAACGGAAAGATACTATTGCATTAACTAAGTAATAATATAACAGCGTTGAAATATTTATCAAATCGCCCTAAGCCGGCAAAACCTATATTAATTTTCAACACGAGCCAGTCAGGCAGACTAGAGAGAAAAAAAAGAAAAAAAAAAAAAAAAAAAAGAGAGAGAGAGAGAGAGAGAGAGAGAATATTTTTTTTGCAACACTAACGACGATTCAGGAATGCTGCAAATGAACAAGAAATATTGTTATAATATTACAAGACGTGGAAAGATGACGTGTGTATTTCTCATCATCACCAGGAAGAAGAAAAAAAAATATTGATTAAAGTAAATCAAAATAGATAATCCTCTAGTAAATATCAAAGAGTACATACATCGCCTGCAATATGTACAGCAGGTGTTGTAATATCTTAGATAGTTAAAAGAAACACCTGCAACACATGCATTCAACACAAAAGAACAACTTGAAAATATCGCAAAATACTTATATATAAAAAAATCTTTTAACGCATTTTTTTAAGAATATCGCAGTAAAATATAAAAACTCCAATAACACGGATATAAAAGAAATATAGCAACATATACAAACTAATATATTACACTAAACCATATAATATCGCAATTAACTTATACCACTTCATAGAAATATATCGCCGCACACTGGAAATATATACACGAAGCTGTTAAAACATACGAGCGAGAGAGAGAGAGAGAGAGAGAGAGAGAGAGAGAAGAGAGAGAGAGAGAGAGAGTACAGTAGATTTGGCTGTCAGCGAGTGAGGAAAAAATTATCTGCCATGTTGCTTTGAT